CTGTTAACATACAGTTATGTTGTATAGACTCTACCATAACGCTATTACAATAGGTATGCCTCTAGAGTTATGTTATATATAGACTCTACCATAGCGCAATTATAATATGCCATAATACTGTTATATCAACTATGTCTCTGCAGAAATATATCAAAGTGTTGTAAAATTTATTACACTAAAAGTATAGAACGATACGTGCTGTCCTTTTGTGGCCAAATTGGTTAGGGTTACATCAGTATTTCTTACCATTATCTTGTTAATTTAGTTAAATGTTACTGTCATACCATTATTTCTAACAATCTTTTCTTCGTTGTTTGTTTTTAATATATGCTGCAAATGATATTTTTTATAAAGTTTAAGAGATACATTACTGTTCTCTTAATGCTTGTTGTAGAAATATGTGATGTTGGCATTAGCCGTGACTTGCAGAGTTCTACACTAAAAATAAGGCACTGCCATGCGAGCTCATCATATTTATAGCTCTGGTGTTGCACAATTTAGCTTCGAAGCAAGCGAGCGGAGCCGGTTTTCTCCACAGCTACTACATATTCTAGACTTACCCTCACGGTTTTACGATAAAAATATTCTTTAATCTAGAAGTTTTTAATGTCACAAAAACTCTAAACACATCTATTTCAGACAATTCTCTGTGCTTTTACAATAAAAAAACAAACAGAAAACCGACTAACTGCTGAACTCTTCCTCCACAACTTCACAAAGTACGGACTTAATTAAACAAGGACCTTCTGCTGTGATTAGATCTAAACCAGAGCTGAACTTTTTTCATAATGATAAACACATTACTAAAAAAATAATCCTGCATTTTAGTTCTAGTAGAGTAAACAATGAGAATATATACTAGTAGAGTCCCATAGCGCAATTACAATAGGTATGCCCCTAGAGTTATGTTGCATAGACTCTACCATATCGCTATTATAATACACCACAATACTGTTATATCAACTATGTCTCTGCTATTGTGCTACACAGGATTTTATCCTAGTGCTATTATTATGAGTATGTCCCTACAGTTATGCTTTAAACTCTACCATAGCGTTATTATAATAGGTATGCCCCTACAGTTATGCTGTATAGACTCTATCATAGCGCTATTAGAATAGGCATGCCCCTAAACGACTTGGTGTGTATTAAACAGTTTAGTATCACGATGTGATACTTATAAAAACGTTTAGTATCACAATTTGATATTTATAAAAACGTTTAGTATCACGATGTGATACTTAGAAAAACCGTTTATTGATACGTAGCATTAGAGATAAGTTAGCATCACGACATAATCCCTGCATACAATTTTAAAATATAAATTTGACTTAATGTATGTTTCGTGAGTTGGGTGATAAGCCGTCTGACATAAAATAACATTTTCAGAAAAAAATATATATATTTTGAAGCGTGTGAAACTGTAAAAAATTAAAAAATATATTAACTGTTTACTAAGCCTCACGTCTAACTTTTCAAAATTCTTAAGTGAAGCAATTTTTTAATTAAACTCACATCAATTCGTTTATAAGTATTTTCTCAAACAATTTATTGCAATGACTCGGTTCATATATGTTATTTTCAATACCTAGCTTAAAATAGTTTGTTTCGAAGATTGTTGAACATACATGGGTATTGTTTCGATCCAGATACAAATAAAGATTAGAATTTATTTTTACTTAAAGAATTTGGTAGATAACTTAATGAGTAAACTGTAAACAATGCGGTTTCCATAAATTTATTTATGTACATAGTTTTAAAATTTGCTCTACGTTTGGCTACTGTTTTACAGATCATCATGTAACGTATTTTTACTTTCTATACTTTATTCAGAACCTTTTTTTTCAAAGTACTTGTAACTTGGACGCATTTCCATGACTTACGTCTACACGACTCGTGTATTCTATGTACCAAAAATACCTCCCACAGTAGACGTCAGAAAGCGAGGTATTTCTGGAGTCTTTCAGAGCGAGGATGGATTCACTATAGTAATAGCTCTTCTGGCTGCGTCCGGGCGGCCGTGGTTCCAGTCAGCATTCCATGTAGATCTAAGGCTTTAACTTACCACACAATCGCTTCTAACTTTTATTCTCATTTTGTTTTCAAAAAGTTTCATTTCACGATGAGTTCTAAGGGTTCGTGCCCTGGGTTCCAACCACACACCGTAAAACCAACTCGTTGTCGACGGTGTTTTAGGGATCTTAATATGCATAAGCCTGAAGAAATGGGAACTCCACAGCCAGAAAACAAAGAATCACGAACTATAGGAGATTCGAGTAAAACTGGAACCTCTCCACAAAAAGACGATACTTCAGCAAGTATTACACTTTCTTTGCCACGCAGAAAACGTGAAACAGAAACTACAGAAAGGATCCAGGCAAGCAAGGAGACTAAACCAAAAGCACCTGCTAAAGATGAGGTCTCTAAAGGAAAAAAACGTGAAACTGAAACTACAGAAAAAGTCCAGATCGGAAAAGAGACTAAGCAGAAAGCGCCCGCTAATGAAGAAGTTTCCAAAGGCTCGGACAATAGCGCCAGCCGAAGAACTAAGAAAAATCCCAACATTAAAACAAAAGAACGAACAGAGCCAGACGGTGCATCTGTCAAGTCTAATGAATCCACCAGCGACTCTTCTGGTTCGGAAAGCAGTAAGGCCAGAAGAATAAAAATATTAGCTGCGAAAGAAATCGACAAATTCCTTCCATCGAGTGGAGAAAGTTTTGATGAAGATACCTCTCCAGATGTAGCGTTCATCCTCCGAGTAAAGACATCCACCAATGCTGCTAAAGACCTGGATCTGGAAAGTGTTGCAGCTACGGAATGTACTGAATTTACTGAGACTACTGAAACCACTTTAACCTTCCAAGAAACCATTGAAGATCTGCAAGCAATGGTTTCAGCACTTAAAAAACAGTTGGAGACCTCGGAAGAAAAATGTGAAAAACTAGAGAAAGAAAAGAAAGAAATTATGCAGCGACGTTTGATGTCTGAAGGAGACAATACGGCTCTTGAGAAAACGGCATCAGAAATTTTAAAGCTACGATCAAAGGTGCACGAGGTGGAAGCCTTGAACGAAGAGCTGACAGACGACAAAAAGGTTTTAAAACTGGAGTTGAAAGAACTTCAGCAGGAACTGGACAAGCGTCAGAGTCCTCAGCAGTTGCACGACACTATCAAGGGCCTCCAAACCAAGCTCCACCAGGCGGAGGGAACGTGTGAGGAGGTAACTGAAGAGAATGAGGAGCTAAAGAAAGAGATTCGAGACCTGGAAGAAGAGCTAGAGGAGCTACACGACAGCTTTAGAGAAGAACAAGCATCAGAATTTCAAGATCTTAAAAAAGATTTAGAGAACCAAACCAAGAACTGTAGAGTTCTTCAGTTTAAGCTGCGAAAAACTGAGAAAAAGTGTGAACGACAGGAAATAGAAAGAATTCAGCTAGAAGAAAAACTAAAGGATTTACAAGCCACGAGTAAAATTGATGTAGATCAGTCTAGAATGAAAGAATTGGAGTCACAGTTGTACGTGGCTAAAGAAATCGCTGTAAAGATGAAGGATGAACTCCAAGTTATGAAGGAGACCAACAAGAAACTTGAAGGAGAAAACGAATCTCTTCTAAAGCAAATGTTAGGAAAAAAAGAGGAACTTAGCAGCACTCAACAAACAAAAGTAAGTATATATATTTTTGAAGGAATGACAATATAGGTAAAAATATAATAACTTACTGAATATGTTGTATTTAATTAGGAGAATCTTAATCGGACATGATAGTGAATTGTATGTATTCATACAAATAATATACTTCATAACAAAGAATACAAATTAGTCTAATATTTCCCTGCGTGTAAAGGTACGTAACAAATCCACATCTAGCTGAGTTTCCCATCTAAAGAAAAAATCAAAAGTGGGATTAGGAATACGTCTAAAAATCTTTCTCATGCTTTAGTGTAGACAATACTTTAGTTTTAGTATATCATAACGTCCTATATCATAATGTATTCGTGTTACATAAGAATATTAGAATGTTGTCATAATGAAAGTATCCCTGCTGTTATGTTACATAGAACTGTCATAATGTTATCATAAACCTAGGTTAAGTAGTTAGCACACAGGATCACCTACAAAAGTTGAAATGTTTTCAAAACGAGACCCAAAATTCGAGCGCTTTCGAATAGTTGACCTCAGGAGAATAGAAGAAGAATAGTCAACTATTCGAAAGCGCTCGAGTTTTAGGTCTCGTTTTGAAAATATTATAGTGTTATCATAATGATCGTGCCCCTGCTGTTGTGTTGAAGAGGAATATATAAAAGTGTTATCGTAATGATCGTGTCCCTACTATTGTGTTACACAGAATTATCATGGTGTTATCATAATGATCGTACCCCTGCTATTGTGTTACACGGGACTATCATAGTGTTATCATAATGATCGTGTCACTAATATTGTGTTAAACAAGAATATATCATAGCAATGTTGTAATATTACGTTCTTGCAGTTTTGTTAATCAAGATAATATCGTAGTGTTCTTAGAAAGATTTTGCCCCTGTAGTTGTATTACAGATGGTGTTATCGTGGTGTTGTCAGAGGTATTATGCCCCTACTGGTATTTTAAACAGGACTCTATCGTAGTGCTGTTATAATAGATATGCCTCTATAGTTAGGTTGTATAGGACTCTATTATATCAACTATGCCCCTGCTATTGTGTTACACAGGATTTTATCCTAGTGGTATTATTATGCGTATGTCCCTACAGTTATGCTGTAGACTCTACCATAGCGCTATTATAATAGGCATGCCCCTACAGTTATGTTGTATAGGCTCTAATACTAAACTGTTTTATAAACACCAAGTCGTGATACTAAACTGTTTTATAAACACCAAGACGC